TATCATCTTCAATTAGCAGATAATTAACAGCCATAAGAAATATGGATTAACTACCCAGGCTGATGCATCTAAATTAAAAAACCAAGATTTGAACCCAGACTATGACACCAGAGCCAGGCCACTTTTATACTATACAGTGGTGCCTACATTAGATATAGGAAGATACATGTCTTGAGGATGGAGATAAATTCAGACATACTTCATAGTTCTATATAAACTCATAAAAACCTGTACTCCACAAATAATATTTGCTACTTCTCTTTTTCTTAAATGACAGAATTAGAACAATACACTAGAAAAGAGGGTGATTGTGGGTAATATAAAATTTACATGGAAATGAGGCATTTCAAGAAAATGAGAGTTTACATGTATGATGGGAGGAAACATAACATGACTTCAGGAAAGAATGTGAATAAGGTACTGGAAGAAAGTAAATTTTATCTGAATTTAACTACTATGAAAAGACTTTTGGAATTTAATTACCAGAATAAGACTTTCCAGGAGTACTACCCTCCTGCTATTTTCTCAAATAAAATCCCATGCCAGCAGCGTGCATGCATGAGCAGCCCTGTACTAAGCTAAGTACCCATTTGTGGCACTTAGGTCCTATTAAATATATTCTCTGATGAGAATGAAATACAGTAATAGATTAGTTGTGAAACAAATTTACAGCTTTAATTAATGAAGCCTTAGAATACATCAGTAAACAAAGTAATGAAAATTATAAGGGAAGTAGTCAACCAGTGAACGATGTCATTTTCATTGGCCCATATAATTTACAGTCTTTTGTAGATTAATTGACACATATCCACACAGGGAAGATATGAATGAGTACACACATACAGATCTGTACAGCCTACGGAAAACAGAAACACTAGGAGTATTTCTGTTACCAAATTGTTCAACAACCAATTTTAAATGCAAGCCAAAGGAGACATTTGTAGCATATAATGTTACATAGCTTGATTTCTTTATATATGTATTTATTTAGTTAATTTATTTTTTTTAGTTAGTTTAAATAAAACACACACACACATATAGTTTAAAAAACCTCCTGTTATTCCCAATCCTATAGCTCAGTTTATGCACATCCATACCCTTACTGTTGTCCCTTTCTCTGGTTCCTGGCTCATCTCTCTGCCTGCAGTCTCAAGTCCATTTCCTGAAGCCTCTGAAGGGACAATGATCCAGCAAAGGCTTTCCCTCTCCCCTGAGTACAGCCTCTTTTGTTACTGGATCCTTCCTGTCAACAAGCTCCTTGTCTCTCCCAGTTTCTTCAAAAAAAAAAAAAAAAAAAATCACAAACCCTCAGCAGATCCCCTACTCCACACTGGTGAGTAAAACTTGGTTGAGGAAGAAAACAGAACATGGTAAGTACTGAAGATGAAGAGAATAGGTGTAGAAAAGTGATTCAGAGTGCTGATGAGTGCTGCAAGTGAAAATACCAGCCATACAACATACCAGCCATGTCATCTATTAATCGCTCTATGCCTCAGTTTCCCCATCCGTAAAAAATGGGAATGTTAATAGTGCCTACCTCATAGGGTTTTTGCAAGGGATAAATAAGTAAATATTTTTAAAAGAGCTTAGAACAATGCCTGGCACGTCATAAGCATCATATAAGTGCTTTGTTAAACAAATAGAATAGAATAAAACAAAATTATAGATGATATCTAGGGAAATGGCTGCCTGACTTTTCCAGTCTATACCCTTGTAAGACTAGGGAAATTATAAACTTTCAACCAGAGAGATGTTCTCTAAAATCACTTTACTCATATAAAACTTAATAGCTCAAATTCATTTTTTTTTACTAATTATGCTTTATAGTGATAAATCATGTCAAGACTACAAAACTCCAATAAGTAAAAGTATGTTATATTTGCTGATAGTTTGAGTCCGATGTAGCTGTATCTGCAGGAGGCTCTGGGCTGGTGCTGTTATACAAGTGGCCAAGGAAGGTAAGCTGGAAAAGTGCAGGGTAGGTGCATGTTAGCAAGATGGTGTCAGAGATTGAGTGGAAGTGGATCTAATCAATTATCTGGAATTCCAGATAAGGAATTTGTAAAATTATATGAGTCAACATGGAAAAAGTGAAGACTGGCTGGAGATGGATATTTGATCCTGAGGGAATACTAATTTCTTAGGTAGTAATTTCTTTGGAGTTCCCCTTTTTCAGGATATAGCCCACAATATTTACATTTGAAAATACGATGTTGGGGATTGGCTGTCAAATAATCTGGGGGCAAGGAGGAGGACAGGAAAGAGGTGTGGTTAAAACAAGATCGGGCCTGAGCTGATCATTGTTGAAGCTAGAGGCAGGTACACGGGGCTTCAGTGATATCATTCTACTTTTTAACACATCTGAAATGTTCTTAAAAAAAAAAAAAAAAGTTGAAAAAAGAAATATAAGTTGATTTTAAAATATCCCTACAACTTACACTGTTGGGCCTAAGAAGAAACACAACGTCTCAAAACCATATCTTACCTTTATAATACCCTTTCCTGAGAAGATGCAAATATTTCACACTCACGAGTTAGGGTGGGAGCAATGAGGGAAGCCAGACTTGTCAAAAGTTTCAAGATGAAGGAAAAGACAGATGGAAGTGAAGGGTTCAGGGCAGCAGTAGTCAACTGCAGAGATCAGAATCCAGTCCAGTTTCCAGATCTGTGCATCCTCTTCAAAAGGTAACGATGACACTGCCTTGTGCTATCAATGGAATCGAAGCTACTCACAGCAAGGTTTTGAAAACTCCCCAAAGAATAAGCACGGTGCTGCCCAAGGCCTCAGAAAGTCAAGTAAATAAATCTGAGCCTGTCCCATCACCTAGTAAGCACATACTTTCACCCTTATTCATTCTTTGGGGGATCACCTTTAAGGTGATTATGAATTTGGCTGCTGAGAGCCGACGGTCAAGCTCAGTGAGTAGAAGCAGTGAAGAGGATTTTGACTTGATTTCTTCTCGGCTTATATGTATCAGGGGGATTATTCAAGGGAGTGTGTGTGACAGAGGGGAGGGGAGAGGAAGAGAAAGAAAAGGGGGAGGGAGACGGAGGAGGCAGGCACATGTGGTAGCCTAACCATGTCAAAAAAGTCCAGCTCCTGGTCTGAACTTTGGGGCCCCAAAAACATACTTTGGGGATCCTGCACCCAGGTTATTTTCCTACTCTCAACAAGTACATAGGAATAAAACAAGGGAGAAGTCTGTTGATCAAAACCTAAAAGGATGTTTTAGGAAAATTCAAAATGTTTATAACAAGACAAAACTAAGAGACAAAGTACTATTAATCCTAAATTAATACCCTCCTATAGTAATACAATGTGAACACTAGTGGCAAAGGGGACTCTATTGTCCTCAAAACCTTAGCGTAACAGGAATGAGTAAAACAGTAGAAGCTCCTGGTTCTCATACGTTTCCTATAGTTTGTTCAATACGTTAGAGACAACATATTACATAGACGATGTTAAAAGGAATTTTTGGTCAACTACCTGGAAGCCAAGCTTTCTAAGACACACTTCAGTATGTTAGCAAGTATTACTAATCTTTCACATTTCCAAAGCAAGTGCTAAGCTGTAATTTGGATCTGTTCTTCAAGTCTTTGTTTTCTTCCCTTTTTAGCACTGCTAGCTTGTGAAGGGGGAAAAGTTTTCTAACTTACCGATTCATTTCCTCCTAAAGTATATAAAGCAGATTTTGAAACTATTATCATTGTTATTTACACATCCCATAAATTCTGTCCTTGTCACCCTAAAATTGCTACCCTTTAAATTCCATGGATTCAGTCCACTGTCAAGACTAGGAAAGTACTCTTACTAGCAGGTAATGACTAAGATATAAATTAACTCACCAAAGATTTTGTGGCTATAAATGCATTAAAAATAAACTTTACACATATTTTGTAGAAAAAGAATATATATCAAAGATTTTATCTATTTATTTGAGAGGGAGAGAGAGTGAGCAAAGGCGAGAACACAAGCTGGAGGGTGGGGGGGATGGGTAAAGACAGGGAGAAGCAGACTCCCCGCTGAGCAGGAAGCCCCATTAGATACTGGGACTCCAGGATCATGATCTGGGCCAAAGGCAGACACTTAACTGACTGAGCCACCCAGGCACCTGGAAAAAAAGTCCTTTTGATGAGAAGAGAAACACTCCAGAATTATTTTGTATTTATTAAACAAAGTATTTGACTCAGAGTTGCTTCAAATTGTCAGCATATTCATTATTTAAATAAGCATCATTTTAAAAAACATTGTAGAGTTGGGTCATTATGCGTGAATTGTGTGATACGATTTTAAGTTTAAATTTAATTTTTTTAACGTAAAAGGTTGTATGTACTGTGTCCAACTTTAAAACAAATACAAAAGAAAAAACTTGAAACCTAAAGAAGTCTCAACAAGAGTGGAAGTTTTTGAATACCAAACAAAACATCTACTACAGCTTTTTCCTAAATATTGAAAACTTGCCCTAAGAGAAGACTCTGAGAATTGAGAAAGGAAAAAAAAAGTGAGAACTGTTTACCATTTCACAGTTCTGAAACTCCAATGAGGTTTCCAAATACTTACTCCCTTTGTGATATTACCTGATGCAGACAGGATAAAAATAATGTAATTGTTTACTGAAGATTTGAAAAAATAAAACATGTTTACCTTAATAAGCAAACAAACTTTGGGCTTTAGAAATATTATGTCTTCCTTGCATTATCAATACAAAATAACTCAAATAGCAGACCTGATATCAATGCTATATTTTCATTTAGTATTAATTATTATGGTTCCACACCCCTGTTGAGTTTCTCAAAGCACTTCAGTACACATCACCCGATTCAACTTTCGTGGGAGCCTCCAGAGGGTAGGCAGCTTAGAAATCCAGAGTTCTACAAATGAGAAAATTGCGGCTCACAGAGGAAAAGTAGACAAGGTCATATATCCCAACGCTTGCCAATTACCAATGCTCACCATTCTGACACTAAGAAATTCAAATCATGTTTCCGTACGCAGTTACCTGATTGGTCGATTCTCTTTACTGTCAAAGAGTGAGAAGATGACCTCAAGCTCCTCCCCCAGGTTGGAACACATGAGGCTCTTCATCTGCACAAAAAGGTGGTGATTGCTGGCCTGCACAGGGGTATCCTTCTTCCGATGCCGGTGTTCCATCTGAGTAACACCCACCCCGCCCCCGACAAAAAAATGATCAGCATGAACTGAAGAAAACAATGTGATCCAACAACTAATTAGCTATGGTATGATTATGATGTCCTGTGCTTTTTTTTTTCCTGTGGATTTGGCATCTGGTTGGATGTTACATTCCAAATTTTCTTCCAACTTCTAAAAAAAGAAACCATGAAGTTTGCAGACTATTAAGGAATCTTGCTTTAAGAATTTGGTATGTATGTATTTATTTATCTATCCATTCATTCATTCATTTAGACAGGGAGAGGTGGGGGAGAGGGAGAACCCACACTAAGTGCAGAACCCAACGTGGGACTCAGTCTCATGACCCTGAGATCATCATCTGGGTCAAAATCAAGAGTCAAGACGCTTAACCAACTGAGCCACTCAGGAGCCCCAATAATTTGGTTTTGAATCATTAATGTTAAAATTATACCAGCTTAAAATGAGTAGATTCAGGCATCATGATGTTCAAAAGATCCTACTGTTCCCTTATCAACTCCCAGGGTGAGAACAAATTATTAGTCATCTTTAAAAAACCAGACTCAATGGTGTCTATCTGGTCATTTCATTGATGGTAGTTGAACAATGCAGCTATGATTTCATATTTTTCATAATTAAAAGTCTTTTTAAAGTATACTAAATTGTGAAATTGTGGTAATTTTCTGAGACGTGCTGTGGCAAGTGATATTCAATCACAAGCAAGAAAATGTTTCTAACTTGCCATGGAGCTACAGGGAGGCAGACTGGGAAAGCCAGTGAGATAGATGGCTAAGGGGTGGAGCAGCATCTGTGCCCATCTTATGTCTGCCTAGTGTAGGTTACACTTGGGAGGCAGGATCAGAAGTGAGAATTAACAGAAGTCAAAGGAGGAAAAGAATCACCCATAGTTCCAGGGTAAAGAGTCAGGCAACACATAGTTGTTAAGTGTCTATTATGTGCCAAGCAGTGGAACGCACTGATGAGCAAAAAAAGAAATAGCCCCTACCTTCATGGGTCTTATCTACCAGGGGGAGCAAACATCAACAAAATCATCCCACATTCAGATAGGAAACTGCAACTGTGACAAATGGAGGGGAAGAACCAGATACTCATGAGGATCTGCAAGGAAGTGATCTGACTTGTGTCTGAGCGGTCAGAGCAGGCGTCCTGAGAAAGTGACACTCTGCCAGAGAGGCAAGGAGGGAGCAGAGCGATGAACCATCTAGGACAGTGCTTCTCAAATTATGTGCAGGAAAAAAAACCAAGTTGTTCTTCCTCCTAACCTACTATAGGCAGATATTTCCACGAAATACAATAAGAATGTCATGGTAATGTTAGAATGTTAGGAAGGTTCCTAATTCTTTACTCACCATTTTTGTACTTGGACCAGTAATAATCAATTCATGGTCCAGCTAGTTCTTGGACCACCTTCAAGGAGAACTGGCTCAGGGTAAGAGCAGAGGGAAAACATATACAGAGGACTATGTATTCACAGAGTCAGTGTTAAAGAACGTGGAGGATTTTTGCTTTCCTAACAAAGATTACTAATGACCACCTCTTTTGGATCACTTGACAACTAAACAACTAAACTTGACAACAAAAACAATAAAACAGCTCAGGTATTAATTCTACAGTAATAGGGTAATATCCTTCGCTTAGGATTAAGGTACATAACCTGTTTCTACATTAACCATCTTTTTAAGTTTCTTAGTTCAGCAATTGCTAACTGACCAACATTTGAAAGGAAAAAAACATGATCTATATTTACAGGTGTAAATGCAACAGCTTGAAATTACCAGAATTTCACTTTTATCTTTTAATTTGCACTATTCAAAAAGTAAACAGTTAAAAAAATGTAATTAAGCAAATGCATCTGTAATCACTGTATCCTCAACAGGTACAATGGACATCTCTCCGTGAAACTGAAGAGTAAGTACACTTTCTTGTAAAGTGCACCTCGGCATCGTGTTATGTGTTAGTCATAATTGCTAGAAAAAGCCTCCTGCAGAGAAATATTCTAACTATAGGGGAAAAAAAAAACAAGTATAATTCTGTCTTGTTTTCTGAGAAGGTTGCTCTTTTTGTGCTTTTAAAGTTCTTTTTTACCAGAGGAAAAGCATCAGACATTTATAAAACTCTATCTCTTTAACTCACAAAGAAGCCTTTTATTTTCTGAAAATGTTAACTTATTTTCTGATATACTTAAAAGTTTAGGTTAACACAGTACAGAGTACTATGAAGAAATGAATAACTACCGAGGACCAGAGTGGGAAAAACAGGTATAAAAACCTTATTTAAATAAAGGACCTCAAAGAGGCATCTGGTCTTTACTTCAAACAGTGCAAAGTTCCTAGCATCAGTCATGACATTTGCTAAAAACAGAGAGGAAAAAAAATTAGCTCCTTTGCTCATGCAAGGAATTCAATATATCTAGATCAGTGGTTCTCAACCTTGACTGCACTTTAGAATCACCAAGAGAGCTTTTAAAAAATACTTATGCCCAGGATCTATCCCAGAACAATTAAATTAGAATTTCTAGGGGGTGGGGGTCCAGACAGTGATAGTTTTAAAAGCTCCCCAGGTGATTCTAATGTGCAATGAGGGTGGAGAACTATGGATTGAGATCATATGCAAAGACATGCAAATCACAGCCAAATGAAAAATGCATTTTTGCATCTTCTGTGCAATTATTGCCTTGGAACCTTGATCTTTGCATGTATGCTTGGCCTAAGCCTGCCTGCTTCCACCCTGATTTTGCACATGTGACGCAGGTCATCACAAATGGCACTGAAATCTCTCCTTCTTCACCCACCTCTCTTCCAGGTCTAGAAAAGATGTGGATGTAAGGTTAGGATGACTTGTTTATCTCTTGGTAACTCCCTACTATGGGGAACTGCTAAAAAGGTCTCTGTGAAAATATTACAACAAAAACAAAATTAAAGAGGCATGTTCATACCTCAAAGGCTGTATCTTGGTAGTTATAAGAAACAGACAAAAATCTATCTCGGAAATAAATTATGGTTACAAAGGAATCTACCAGATGCTCTAAATGTGCTTACAGTTTAACTAGACCTTTGATTAGGAAAAGGAACAGATTTATTCCAAAGATTTATTGGAAGGATGCAAATTTTTAATCTTCATATAATGTATATGTTACTGGGTGAACTATCCAAAGTTTTTCAACCTCAACACTACTGTTAATTTGGGCTGGATATTTCTTTGTTGTGGGGGCTGTCCAACATTGTAAGATGTTTAGTAGCTTTCTCTGGCCTCCATGTATCAGACCCAGTAGCACTTCTCCCCACCCCACCCCTACCTCAACTCTAACTGTGACATGCAAAAATGTCTCCAGACATTGCCAAAAGTCCCCTCCTCTCTGTTTGAGAGCCCCTGGTCCACCCACTAAGGATCACAAAGCAAGAAGTTAACATGATCTTATAAAACCAAGAAAGGCTCATAAAAAGATACTCTGTATGCACAGATAACCAGAGAATCTAGCTACGGCTCTCTTTATTTATAGAAGGATTGAAATCTGGCCTTTGGCAGAAAACCAAATATTCCAAGTGGACATATGTTAACACTGTGAGGTTTAGCACGTTTTACTGCTTAGATGAACATAATTAGGTGAGAAAGACCTGCTAACAGGGCTATCAAAAACCTAAAGCAAGACTTTTTTTTTCTTCTAATGATGCAATATGGATTTAGCAAGGCACAAACACTTGTGTTTCAAATAGAACACAGAAAAGACATAGTCAAAAAAAGACAAGTGGCAACAATCAAATATCCTCTACTGGGGCATGCATTGCCATGGCCCTTGATCCCTAAGTGACAATAAAGACCAAAACAACAACAAAAGCAACAAGGGGTTGGTGGGAGCGCCTGCAAACTCTCCCTGGCGAAGTCAATATAGTGAGTCACTTTTATGCTGCCCAGAGATTGTCCATCATGCTGGTTAACATGCTGGACAATCTGATTATTGCTAGGCCAGGGTACTAAACAGAATCCTGAAGCTTCCTTAAAGATAACATGTCCTTCTGAGGCTTGTAATAGTTTGGATTTTTCTTGGGCTATTATCTATGCTTTACAAACAGTAAAATACAGCCACTACTGGGAGAAATTAAATTTTTATAGAAAATCACAAATGAAGACTTTGAGCTAGGATCTGAGCTATAAAAATGGAAAACATCTTGGACTGACAGTCACTGCTCATCAGGGATAGTTTCTTGCACCACCAGCAGCTACTGCTCATCAGTCACAGACCAGATGAGACCCCAGAATTGTATCAACATAGCCACCACTAACAAATTTGAATATTGAAAGACATAAAATCAATTTGCCATCCCATACACAACATTAAGTGAAAAGAACAAAGACAAAATCACACACACAGAAAATTATACTAAAAAAAGTAAAATGTATTTGTGTCAGACACTGTTAGTTGCTTATTAAATATAAGACATCCTTAGCTAAATATGGGGAATGTGACTATGTTCTGGCCAATGAAATATAACTGCAAATATTGTGTGGAATTTCCAGCAAAGCTCCTTACAGTCGTTGAACTAAGAACCTTTCTCCTTCCTATTGCTGGAGAGCAGATGTAATGGGCTAGAGCTCTTGCAGTTGTATCAAACTTTGAAGTACCTTGATGATGGAAGCCATGTACTATACAGCAGAAAAATAAGAGCCTGTATCACTTTTGACACCATGAAACCACATGCAAGCCCAGGACTTCCTGCCTCTTGGCCTGCATATTGTGAGAGATAAATAAATTTCTTTTGTTTTCTTTTTTAAAAGATTTTATTTATTTATTCATGAGAGACACACAGAGAGAGAGAGGCACAGATACAGGCAGAGGGAGAAAGCAGGCTCCATGCAGGGAGCCCGATGTGGGACTCGATCCAGGGGCCCCAGGATCACACCCTAGGCTGAAGGCGGTGCTAAACCGCTGAGCCACCCAGCTGCCCGAGAGAGAAATTTCTATCATGTCTAAGCTTCTACTATTTCATTGAACACAGCTGAATCTAATCTTAGATTAGATTTAATCTTATATACTAAGATTTACTTTATATAAGGTATCAATTATTCTTGCCATCTTGCCTCTGTAATAAGGAAGAAATAAAAGGAAGAAATAAAAGTGAGCAAGGAATGAAAATCAACTGAGTGTTTAGATGCTCTGCAAACATTAACTGTCAATGAAAGGTATTCCACATGCATTTCTTATTTAATCTTCGTAACACGGTTAGAATTAGTTCCTTACTTAATAGAGGAACAAAATTGAAGCTCTGAGAGACCAAGCAATAAGCTCAAGACCAAAGATCTGATAAAAGGAAGAGACGGAATTCAAATTTAGTTTTTTGGATCTATACCCATGGTCTTTTCATAATACCATAGTAACCTCAAAACACTGAGTGATTGCTTATTAAGTGCAAAGCACTAAACAAGATTATCTGGGGCATGGCAGAGGAAGTATAAGACAGTGCCCACCCTGAAGAAACTTCCAGTTGGGTGGGATTTAAAAAATGAGAGGCAAATTTGATGCTCAGTGAGTTAAATAAAGTAACTACAATGAAGATGTTCCATGAGAGGATGTGACTGGCAAATAAGTTATACAGATTTTATTTGTTATACAAGTGAAGAATTACGGATAATTTTATCTCAAAATACTCGTTTCCTTCCTTCTCCTCTGCCTCCCTCCAACTCACCTTTAACTGTGCTTTTGCCATGTGCCAAATATTCTACTTAGCACTGATGCCACAAAGGTGTGCCACATGAAACATCACTCTCAAGAACCTCAATATGAAGGAAGTTATAAAAAGCAGAATGAATCCCAACTGACATAATACGGTGTAGATAAACTGAATAGATCAGAGACTAGGGAAAAAACTGAAAGTGGGAGAATTACTTTCTAAAATCAGACATAAGCTCTGATGGGTTTACTGATGATTTTTTTCACACATTTCTCAGACCCAGATAATCTCGGGTCAAGAATACCTCACACTCTTCTATGAAGAATATTGTACACTTGGGAAGCTATCCAAAAGGAGCAGCATCCTCCAAAAAGAAGTCTACTATTTACCACAGGCATTCTTCCTTTGGACATGACAGTAAGATGCATGGGAAACTGTATCAAAGTAAAATTACACTGGTGTAATGGCCTGGGAAAGCCCTTCCCAGCCACATTCTTTTTTGATTTGGGGTATTAACTAAGAACTTAGTTAATATTGAGAGATTAGGTAATTTTTAAACAAGTATTAAGAATACAAGGCAGATCGGACCAGATTTGGGGAAAACTAGATACCAAGCAAATAAATGAATCTTAACATGTAACTAGAAAAAAATCTGAAATTGTAGGTGATGGGCAATACGATCAAGTATTTTAGAATTATTAACAGACTTCAGCACTTTGGATGGATTAGGGTGTAGGACAGCAGTTGGAGGCAATAGAGGAGATGCTTTCAATGGTCTTTGCACATTGTAGTAGTGGGGGCAGGGAGGGGGCAACGTGTTGGGGAACAATAAATGGATATCACTGGTCACAGCACTGTCCTGGAACACGATAGATAAATATGTGTGATTTGTAGGCATTTCACTAACAAAATGTACAAAGACGTGCAAAAGAACTTAAAACTTCTTTGGATTTACTTCCTAGTATCTAAGACTAAAGAGCTCAGTAGAGCATATCAAAGGATTCTCAAACAGGTAGAGTGCCTCAGTTTTTTACTTAGGGCATGGTCATCTCAACTCTCAATTCTCTTCACTTGCTCCAAATTAAACCTGGGACATCCTGTTCTCACAAAATCCATCAAGTATGAAGAGCACCATGGAAACCACAAAATTAGCAGTGAGGTTGTGAGCCAAGGTTTCTTGTACCTACCAATCGGTAGAGCTCGGTAATGCTGATGTCCTCTGGGTCCACCATTGCATACTCTTTCCTAGGCACCAGATCCAGTCCCAGTTGTCTAGAAAACACATGACAAAAGATTGGGGGAAAAGTCACCTCTATAGAACATATCAAAAATCATTATTTTTATTATATCACCCCGAAATTACATATGTCGCACACCATGCTTCTTTCACTCCTATTTTTTGCCTCGTATTAACTGGTTACCACATTTGGAGTAGCCGATATAACTAGGCTGGACACTGGGCATAACTTGAGAAACAGAAGACGACGAAGGAAGGGAAATCCGGGGGATGGGCAGGCACTGTGAATGGAGTGCCTCTGCCACTGGAGGCCCTGGTGCTGGGTAGTGGGGAGCCATCAGCACCTCAAGAACTATCACCATAGAAACCCCTCCAACTTGAACTGGGGGAGAACCAAGAGCGAGACCTAATTTTGTTCTAGAAATCAGAGTTGAGAAGATGGAAGTTTGGCCTTTAAGATGTGACCTGGCATTAAAATTATATCCAGAGCTAATACATTTCTTTTTTTAAATATATTTTATTCATTTATTCATGAGAGACACACACAAAGAGAGAGAGAGGCAGAGACACAGGCAGAGGGAGAAGCAGGCTCCATGCAGGGAGCCCAACGTGGGACTCGATCCTGGGTCTCCAGGATCACGCCCTGGGCCAAAGGCAGGCGCTAAACCATACACCCAGGGATCCCGAACTAATACATTTCTAATGTGAATCTCTGGCAACGTGTGTAGACCTCAGTCATAGAGTTCTGCAGTCACTCATTAGAAGAAACTCAGAAAAGGCAGATGACAGAAATTAAGGGACTGCAGTTTTAGGCCTTGGGTGGCGAAATGGTTTAATCTCTTGTGTCAGCTTGACATGATTGACATGTGGCTCTGAGGTCATACATCCAGCCTCAGTAGGAAGCCATCTGGTGACTGATTTGCAAGGTCCTACCACAGAGGAAAGTGTAACTGCCAAGTTGCTTCTAGTGACCTTGGTGACAACCTTCTCCAGGGTGCCCACTTGACTACATTGCTATCAATGTTGTATCACTCTGTTTATCTCCTTAACCTTCCATGACTATCCCAAAAATGTCACAATATCTGTGTAATGCTACTGTCTCTCCCAGATTCCCCCTCAGTTACCCCATTCCAGGTATCCTGCAATTCTCTGGTGCGAATTTGTTCCGTGTCCTTTTCACATCATTTTCTAACATGGAAGCCTTCTGGCATGGCATTTCCAGTTATAAAGCCAGAGCTTCCTCACTTGTACTTTAAAAAAAAATCCTGAAATTCTGTATCCTACACCAAACTTCATTAGAGGTTTCATAAGTAGACCTTACTAATTCGGCCCTTACTTCAAGCCAGGCACTGACCCAGCCATTCTGAGGGATGGTTGTTCTTAAGAAGATCACATCTGGACCCTCTCAATGGCAGTAGTTGTTTTAGACATGGAAATGGTTTCTTAATTTTCTTTAGTTACGGTTCTCTTTGAGAAACTTAAAAATCACACTCCCCTGTTCTTTAATTTTTGTTGAACTTTCGAATCACAGACAGCACTGTAATCTGTTCTCAAAATACTCATGTTTCCCTGTTATGGACTGAACGTGCCCTCCCAAAATGTATATGTAGAAGCCCAATATGCCAACCCCATCATGACTATATTTGAAGATAGGGTCTATATGGTAATACATATCACATGAAGTCATAAGAGTAGGGCCCTGATCCAACAGAACTGGTGGAATAGAATAGACCTCACAGATTTCTCAATGTCCATGCAAGCACAGAGAAAAGGTCATGTGAGGACACAGCAAGAAGGCAGCTGTCTGCACGCTGGCAAGTGTCCTCACCAAGGTCCATGGTACGTTGGTCATGGATGGACTTCTAGCCTCCAGAACTGTGAGAAAATAAATGTGTCGTTCAAGGCACTCAGTCTATGGTATTTTGTTATGGCAGCCCTAGCAAATGAATACATCCCCCTTGGTACACCTCACCAGGGATTCTGATAGGATCTATTCCCCATTCTCTACTCCCTCCCAAGAGAGAGCCACTGCCCTACAACGTAAGACATCATTTGACACCAGGTCAGTATCGCTGAGGAAAGATGATCTAGCAAAGGAAAGAGGATATATAACCACGTATGAATTCACCTCACCTACCCTACCCAAAGCTCCTTCTATGAGAAGCCGTCCTACCCATCTTCTTTGCTAGGAGGCATGAGGGAGAGCTCAGGCAGTCTAGTCATCTGACCATCTCGAGCCACACCTGCCTGGGCACCTGACCTAAGGATAAATAATCTATGGACTGGCCAGTAGCTTAGGAGTGACTGGTATAACATGCTCAGTCTAAACAGGAATAGTAGATTTTGGCTTTCAATGAGATTCCTTTTTTGAGAATTTAGACCTAGAGATTCAGAGCATCAGCCATATGGCGCAAAGAAGAAAAGATACATGAAGGGCATCTGGTTGACATCACTGTAGAATAAGCCAAGACCAACTCTAGCTGCACAGGTGCTGGAGCAGGTGTGAAGTCCAGAAACTTCACGAGCTTTGGGGCCCCAGGAACTTGTAACTTGCAAGTCTCTTTCTCTCATAAGGCTTTCATTGTTCAACTTCTGCTGGCTTCCTGGGTCCTAGCTGTGTGAAGAGAGTCCCCTCTGCTTCTGTTTTATTAATTCCTAGGTATATCGTTAGGATAACCCTCCCAGTGTTTGAGATTTTCTTAGCTCACAGAACAGGATCATGGCAGTGCTTGTTCAAACCAAGAAGAAGATAGAAGGCAAAGTGAGAAAGGAGAAAATTCGAAGAGAGCTCTCAGGATGCAGGAAACCAGAGCAGCAGGGTGGGGGTGGGGGGCAAGTTCTCTCTCATTTCAGGCACTGCACTGCTCTGGGACATCAGGAAAGAAGGATGAACAGATTCTCCATCCTGTAAGATCTTAGCAGGAAAAGTCAAAGGACAGTACAGGACTCTATGGGCAACAGAAACAGACACCATTATTTTAACTCTGTGTGACACCTCCAGGTGAGAATATTTCTTTTCATGGCTCTGTTGAGGAACAAAATGAGTAACTCCTCCTCCTCTGCCCCCCAAGCTTCCCACATCCAGAGGGCTTCTCTTTACCACTCTTCAGCAGTTGTGATACACAACTCGAGACTGAACATTCTTAACTCCGTTTCATCCAGAGATCTACGTGCTAACAGATAATTTTGCAGGACAATCTGATCCAGTTTACTATGCGGGAGCATTATCTGAATTTGCTTTCCAGTTAGTACTATTCCATAAGAAAAATGACATTTTCTTATAGTCCGCGCACAATCTGTGCGCTACAAGCTGTTTTTAACTAAGTGGTCGAAGAAAAAATGAGACCTCAGAAAATTCGTGAATTTGAGGATGAGCTATATAAACTATACTGTTCATTTTCACACATCAATGTTTTAACAACTTACCATAAATTAGCCACAGAACTGCCCAAAGTACAGGCCAGAACTTACATGAGTCAAAACTGAGTCATGATTCACTCAGAATTAGTGTTTTTCTCTCGGTCATCATCCTCCTTCCTACAACTGAAAAAGTAACTTCTTGCCTGCTCTATATTTCTAAGTTATTTTTGATAAGCTACTTCAACCAACTGCCTTCCTATTTACAAACTAGGCTTTAAGCAAGGACCAGCATAATGACTAAGAGCCAATATAATTCAGTGAAAACTCAAAGTTTTTTTCAAAATCAAAGAGAAACACATTCTAGACAGCATGGGTCCCTTTCAAAGGGCCTTGAGATCCACTCTGCTCCGCCTGCCTCGTCTCACACAGCAAGACCGGAGGCTCTTGGGCAAGTGGCTGCCAAGTTCTTTTCCTCAGGAAATGCTATGTGTTTGGACTCATACTGTCCTGGAGCCAAGAGGGCCCATGGACCTCCTCTAGTTTAACATACTCCTTCCACAGGTCAAGAAGGCAAAGTCAAGAACAGCTCAGACATTCGTCTCACATCTTAAAAAAGCAGCATTCCTAGTCCAATGTCTTTCTGCCATTCCACACCTATGGTTGTTCTTTTTTAATTCCCTCCAGGAATCAATCTCGTAGATGTAAATAATTTAGGGCAACCATACTGGTTGGTCATCTATAAAAGGACAAATGGCACATCTTACTCAACAAAATAGCGGAAGTAGTCTGCGTGAGCACGAGGCTTAAAATGTGTCAGGAGGTCCATGTGCTCGTGTCTGTAGTATGTCACGTCTCAGCAGAATCAGAAGTGGCTTCTGATAGAGCTACTCCCTGTCATCAGAGGAAGCAGCACTCTAGCTTCAAATCGGTTTTTCCAGATTCAGTAAGAGGCGAATTTATCTGTGGTTTATGTCCTGCCATTTTTTCCTTTCCTGCCTGCTTTTCTTTTATTCCATAGCCCTAAGATCCTCTGAAGGTCCAAATAGCAAATGGGGATTTGGGGAGAGAAAAGGAAGAGAGGATGTGACTTTGACATCGAGACACCTTTCAACGTCTTTCAACAAGCCTAGGATCACAGTCCAAGCTTTTTCTAATTTCTCACCCACATTTTAACATTCCTCCTTGGTACCATATCAGCTTTGATCAGGGCTTTAAGTGATGAGATTTACTAAAGCGCTTTGCTCTTATTTTACATTAGTCATAGTTTTCTTTAAGAGTAAGTCTTGGTCTGCCTTTTACGGAGTTCTCCCAAGCAGCTCCTCCAAGGGGCCACTGCGTACACACAGGTGGAATCAGGGCAATCGTGAATGCCCCACTGGTGCACCTGTTTTAAGACTTTCAATAGGCAGTGTTAGCATTAGTATCTCCCTCCAGATTTCTCCGGTGACATATTACGACGCTACGGAAGGGGTATATATTAAAAGCAAATACACATGCCAAACCTAAAGCCTATTTTTAAATAAGATCTATTTAGCAGAAGCCATATGTGGCTGATCCCTGTGAACACTCCCTACTCTGTGAGCACATGCACACCGTCTGCCCTCACGGGGCACTAGTGAACAAACAGCAACCTGGTGCCCTCGCCAGCCGGACAGGCTGCGGTTCTCAGCTCCATCGGTGACAGTCTTCCCCTAAGTCCCCAAAAGGAAAAAAGAGCTGAAACAGCCCCCTAGGGTGTTTTCTGGAGACATTACCGTGCAGTGGCTCACACTTGTGCGCTGCCAGCAGAGATCCCCCCCTGCCCCCACTGCGGCGGACGGTACTCACTCATTGCCCCAGTCCAGGCGGGCCGTGATGTGGCGTTTCACGTCCTTCATCCGGTCGTGGGTCAGGTGGCCCACCAGCACCTGCCGCCGCAGATCCAGGATCTCATTCATGATGTGCCACAGCCGGTGGAAGAGATCGCCTTCGTTTCTCTGAGAGGTACACAAACGTGGCATCGCGGGTCAGTCTCCAGAGTGAATGGTGAGGAAACCAGGCGGGGAAGGGAAGGACAGGGACGCCCAGGTGGCTCAGTGGTTAAGCATCTGCCTTTGACTCAGGGCGTCATCCTGGAGTCCTGGGATCGAGTCCCGCATCGGGCTCCCTGCACGGGGCCTGCTTCTCCCTCTGCCTGTGTCTCTGCCTGTCTCTGTGTGTCTCTCACGAATAAATAAATAAAATCTTGAAAAAAAAAAAAGAAAGCAAGAAAGGGAAGGACAGTCGTGCCCACCCTCCATGTGCCCATCCTCCACGTGCCTGCCACTCCGCAGGCAGATCCTCTGTTCACAGGCCCCTCTCCCCTCGGACTCTGGGCTACACACCTGCTCTGCACGCTTTCACCCAGCTTCGCGACTCCGCTCTCCTGGCCAAGAGTCCAACTTCACCTCTCAGACCGCCCAGCGTCCTCACTTCGCCTCCACACCCGGAGCTCACCTTCCCTGCCTCCTTTCCCACTTCAAATCCTCCTTTCTTCAGCTCTACCCAAATTCTACTGTCCTTCAAGGCTCCGCCTGTATCCCACCTCGGTCAGGAATCTTCCCTGGTAACTCTCACCCATGCTCTTTTCTCCCTTCACTGAACAGTGGCTGCATGCAACGAAGGCCACTTTAACGGAAAATACCGTTTTCTAATTATTTCTTGCATGTTGGTCTTAAGGCTCTCCGGTCTTTCCCACCATAGCTGGGTAAGCCGGGGGCTCTCAACCTCATTCGTGGCTATTACCTGGTCCCTATTCAGACCTCTGCAAATAAACACTGGTTTTTTTCTGACTGGTTAAACATTCATGTAGATTCAAGATACTCTCCTGAGAAATTCGTCCAGCAAGGGCGGCTTAATGTAAGGGAAATGGGTTAACTGGTTTCAGATCCTGGTTTTGCTACTTACTTGTTTTACAGGCTTTGGAACGAGTTTTGTCACCTGTGAAACAGACAGTACTACCTTCCTGTGAGGTTGTTTTGTGGATTGGAGATAAGGTTCGTGAAGAGAGCAGAACGGCACAGTGACGAAGAGCACAGACTCGGGAGCCTGACTACCAGACCTGCATTCCAACTATGCCCCTGACTGGCTGAAAAACCTTTGGCAATGTATCAACTTCTTGGTGTGTATTTTCTTATCTGTATAATAGGTATTATAATAACTATCTGATGGGGTCACTGTCAAGATTGATGAGTTAACATACCAAAACTCTTGAGAATAACACCTGGCCTAGAATAAATACCACCCAAGTGTTGGCCATTACCAATACTGCTACTGTTGTGGGTTTCATCTAGAATAAGCCCTCTACAAATGTTGTGTCCTTACCAAAAGCTAGCCTATCTCTCTTACTCGGAGACATTGAGGGCAAAACCATTTCTAAATATCCACCGTTCATATTTCTTAACCAGAAGTTATGCTTTTACTTTCTACTAAGATAGTAGTAGAGGACAGAAACAGTGTTATGAAAGGATTGAGATTATCATACACGTGAAGTCCTCTGCTGTGATAAACTACCAAAAATAGCAAAAGTCCTGTGTGATGGGTAAAGATGCTTGGTTGGAACACAATTTTTTTTTATTTTAATTTTAAAAAGTCGTGACATGTCTTCTACTTTATCAAGACTTGGTGACTTGGAGTGTTTTAATGTACTGTGCAGGTGAGACAAATGTGCTGGCTAAACAGCAAAGCATTCTCCGTGACACCATCCCTGAGATATAAATAATTGTGCCTCTCGACTCGTAAAGCACTCTATGGAGCTTCTTCGTCTCGCTCTTTACTCATGTTATATGCTACCATACAAGTCACGCCAGGGGCATTGTGATGCAAGACTCTGGTAATTCGCCGCTCAGTGTCTGTGCTCTCCACTTGGTGTCAACTCCCAACCATAGATGCTGGGTCGGCCTTGGGTAGCCCCAGCAGCTGGAGAATGAATAAATAGATACTTGATTTATAGGAGGCCATTCTGTAGATCTTGAGAGGTAGATCCTGTGTAAGTCATGTGAAACAATAAGGGAAGAAGATCAGGAAAAGCTTGAGGAAGTCAGTGGTCATTGGAAAGGTCCATGAGAGTCAAAGAAGTCCCATAAGGAGGATGTAAAATAAGCGAAGTCTCATGCAGCAAAAGGGAGAGCCAGCTCCATAGACCTGACTGTCACAGTGTGAAAGTCATCTGCCCTGCTCTTGGGAGAGGTGTTCTGCAGTTGTTCAGTAGGATGGACTTGATTTTCTAATGATGTCACCTCTAGTACTTAGGTTGAAGAGAACGCTGACATGAAAAGGAAGCTGGATCCTTTATAAAAATGAAAACCAGCTGGTCAGCTTTCCCTTTAGGGGAGGGGAGGCAGGAACACTGACATCCTGCAGTCGTGACCAGCACACCTGCCCTACTAATGTGCAAGTCGTATGTCTCTCATCTGGTCTGACAGCGGGTCATAAAATGATGATTCATCAAAAACTGGATTTCAAACACTGGACACTTATGAAGGCTATTTAGATAAAAAGTGCTCTTGATTTTAACATTAAATGAAAAGGGTAGGGTGCAATACCAATCATTTGGAGTAAAGCCATATCTAAAAGTTCCTGCAATATATCGGAGCTGTAGCAAAAAGCCAATTGGATTTTAGTGTTTTAGAGAATGGGTAAGTTTTCATTTGCCTCAAACGAAAACAGCATAGGGTTTAGAGCAGCAGATCTACCTTCAGACTCAGGCCTTACCACTTAGCACAGGACCCTGAATACGTTATCTCTGCTAAGATTTGAGAATAAAAACACTCTGGCAGAGCCCTGAGAAGAAAGATATAAAATTTCAAAAAAAAAAAAAAAAAAAAGAAAGAAAGATATAAAATATCCAGCCAAAGGCCTGCACAGAGGTACTTAGTAAAAGATGGCTGCTGTATTTCTCCTAAGCTTTTTGCGGTTATGTTACTGGTATTTTATTAACTGATAGTTGAAAGAACATTATTTAGGCTCTTCCCAATGATATTAAAAAGAGCAACTAGCATTTCTCAAGCAAGTATTTACCATGAGCTTTTAAGCTACAAGTTCTACTTATACAAAGTATACCTCATAAACGGCTTACAATTTACAAGATCTTAGTATCCTCATCAAAGATCTACCAGGGGAGAAGCCAGGCACCTTAAAAACCACTAGAAAAGAACATGCACCGACCTAAACCAGAACACTGGGCTTGGAATACCTGGATTAGGAAAAGAGAACCCAGAAGGTCCGACACAGCCAAGTCAGCCTCATTCTCAAGGTCGAAAATCTATTATTTCCAGGTCCAACTTCCTATCTGTCCCTAACATAACTGACTACCATGCCAGTCTCCAGGGGCAACTTTCAAATTATTCTCTCTGTGTGTCCATTACTCAGGACGTCAGGAAGTGGAAAAGTTACTCCTGGGGCTTACAGCACATAGATTTTCAAGCCAATCAAGTATGTCCCCAAAATAGATGCTCGCAACCTGAAAAGCAGGTAAAAATAGCTAGATAAGACAGACTCAAGAGGCAATTCAACTTTGTTCCCCACAAGCTGCCGCATAAAAGGCAAAGTGCTGGGGCTCTAGCTCAACTAATGGATGACACTTACACTGCCATTATTTTTATAACTCTTCTGTTGGGTATTTAAGATGCAATGATTTGAATATTTCAAATAGCTTCATTCCCACGTTAATATTATGCACAATGTTATTTTAAGTGAAATAATAGTTGGATTTTATACTCGTTCTAATATAATTTTTTTTTTCCCAAAAAATCTCAAGAGGAGATCTGCGTGCATTTCCTTGGTAGCCTCTCAGCTCAGACCCCTTGAGTTCCGTTATCTTGACTTTGCATTTACCTCATTCCAGCAAAGCTTAGACTGGCATTTAATCTAAGACTGCCTTGTGGATTTTAGGAGTGAGTCCTAAAGCCACCAGCGCCAGGAGGGCATGGTCACAGAAATCCAACATCAAAAGGGGTTTTATTTTTAAGATTTTCTTGCCTCAATGAAATATCCTATTGCATTTTATATGTAAGAGACAATAAAAACTGTCATTCCGTGCCAATGTCCTTCGCTAATTTGGATTTTCTCTTTGACAAGCTGTTTCAAATCGTTTTGTCAGGCTAAGTACACCTTTGTATTTTGAACGCATCCCTTCAAATGATCAAGCTGTTCTATAAATGTCTTTGAAAATAAAAGGAGAAATAGTGTTCCTCATCCTCAAACCTTCACCACCCCCAAATCTGTGCTTATCAGAGATCCAAAGCACTAGATTCACATCAGAATCCCAGCCCTGCCATTTTTTGGCTGCGTGGGCCAGAGCCAACACTTCACTCTCTGCCTCTTGCTCCTCATTCGTGAGCTGGGGATGATCACAGTCATCATTTCCTTAAGTGGTTGTAGAGATCGGAGGAGATGCTGCACATGGAGGACCTCCACAGGGTTTGCAACATAGTAAGCTCTTCATAAGTACAATTTGTTATAAAAAGTAAGTACATGAAAACATACTCCCCAAACATTGACCTGACCCCCTCCCATTTTGTTTGAGAAACATTCCTTTCTCTTATATATTTAGAATATTCTTGTTCATTCTGCCTAAGGAGTCTATCATTTTCGGTATATCTGAATTACTTACAGAAAATTAATATAAAATACCACCAATACTCCAATTGTATGCAAATAAATTCCTCTCTCCTTGAAAATTAAAAATACTCAGAAAGCCTGACACTAACTAGATCCACGTAAACCATTCTACTTGATGAGATGCCAGAAAAATCATCTTTTACATTCCTGCAGCTTGAAAAAGAACTTAGCCCATGCTTAGTAGACTCACAGATTGCAGCAAGGCTATGTGTTATTAGGCTCTGTATGTGATTTCTAGAGCAGTGCTAATGCCTTAAAGTGAGTGCTCAACCATTGGTCGATGCTGACTCTTGCTCAAGTATTTCTTAAAACAATTCGCAATCCAAAAAATTACACCATTAAAAAGTTACCTACCACATACAGCTGCTTCCACATAGTTCCCCAGTCTCTTAATGTCGATGTCATTTCTGTTATAACAGAGTCTTCGGTGGGAATAACCATTTCAAATTGTCTGTGAAATTAAAAGAGAAAAACAAAGTATATATGCAATTATCATAGATAACAATTTTCTTTTCAATCCTCCGAAAGATAAAACTAGGAAAGGAAACTGCCTATTAGTTTGGGTTCTGCATACAGTAACAAGGATCTGATTAGAGACCTGTGTGAGGCATGTTCTGTGGGTCATGGCAGTACAACACCAAAAGGACCAGCCACTTTATCCACATCAATTTTGAGGAGTGTGGTGAGAAGCAACAAAATCAGAAGACTTCTGCTCCAGCCACAATGTGACCACTAAACAACAACTCATTTAAGTTCCCAAGCCCAAAAGCCTTCATGTAACATGAGGTCACTGAGCCCACATAAACTATGAAATAGCTTTTGCTTTTCAAGCACTATGACCATACGATTCAAAGGGAGTAACAGACTTGCTCAATGATCAGGATATTACGACTGCAAACGTCCAATCTAACCTAGTGTTATAAGTACCTAGACACCGAGGTACCGATTAAACACTAGCTTGATCTTATTAACACTTCATTTTTATTACTTGTAAATGGGACCATGAAAAACGATTAATATACTAGTAATGTCATCATGCGTCATTGAACTTCAAAGCTTTTGCTATCACAGACGTTCGGATATCCATTGCACAACGCTCTTCTCTATGATTAGGGTAATATATTTTTCCTGTTTCTTCTCTAAAAGTGAAACACTATACTGGGAAAACACTCATACCAGCATCTACTGGGGTACGTACAGTGGTCTGTTGTTGAGGAGATCCATGAAGCTATGGACGAAAAGAAAACCCAGAAGATTTTCTTTATCCCCTGCGTCTATCTCTGATGTCCAACAACCTTTTCCCTCATCTCGAGTTTCTTTTTTCAATTTTTTTTCAGTTTGTGTGCAGGTTAAAATGCTTAAGTGGCTATTATTACTACAACTTCTCATAAGAATGCTGCCAGCTATTTGATGGGGATTATTTTCTTAACATTTGAGTATGTATTTTTTTCAAGGACAACATCTAATATGTACAAGGTAACAGCATTTTAGACACTGAACCAGGTTGTCTAGATGATCAAGGGAAAATTACTTCTTAGCATGAGGCTAATAACTGCTCTGTAGCTCCTTTGTGATGTTATATCCAAAGGGTGTATAATTGTCTTTTGTAAAGTCTTCTTGACAGCGAGTAAGAGAACGAAAAATCTTCACCAACAGAGCCTCTTTCCTCATTTCATACTGCTGCTAAAATACGTGCTCTGTGAATATTTCCCTTCTTTCTAAAGCTGAAACACAGCTGAAAATGTAAAAGTGGGATTCAAAACTAGAAATAAAAGTAAACAGTAGTATATGAACTGCGACATATACAGATCCTTACATCAAGTCTACGTGTGACATTTTCAAATGGTAGCGCCTTTATTTTGTGTTTGAAGCAGCTGTTGCAATTTAAATGATGAATATTTGGAGACAGAGATTATAAAATGATCAGATGTAAGGTCAAAAAGGGAATAATGAATTTCCAGGACAACTCGACAACCTACTTAACATTTAAAAGGTGGCATGACCTCAAGCAGCAATTAAACACTAGAGAAGTGGCCTCGTTGTTTATAAACCATCATTTAATTTAAGGACCCCCATCAGCCCGACATTGCTCTGAAGACCCAGGAATGAAGAAAAAGGCAATTCAGTCTGTGAGAAGTTGATTTGGTGTTTGTTCAACCAAAATGTAAATTTTTAAGAAGCTTTACAAAATCACCGTTTTCGGCAAGCCAGCTGTTTCCTCTTAATTACACCAAAACCAAAGTCGATGTTCAAATAGTTGTAAGTAGTGGCCCCTGAAATTACATTTTGTTCAGTTATTCTGATACACTTTGCAGCTACTTCATCCTTCCGAGATATGCTTTGCAGCAGCCATCAGGCTGCTGATCTTAAAATAAGAGAGGTTAATGTCAAAATCCAAAGAAGTTCCTCTTTGGGAAAGCAATCATCTGGTAATGTGTGTTCTCAAATGTTTTCAGGCTCAAGATTTTCTTCCAGTTAATGGTCCTAGAATCTGGAGTCTCAATTAATTCCAATAACTTTTTTCTTGTTAAGAAAATAAATTTGTATTCTCCCCACAACGTTCTCCTGCTACTTAATGCTCATTATGCCGTGTCACATGAAGAACCCACAACCAAGTCTTAAACTTAACACAACTAAATTCTGAGAACACTTTATCCTTACTTAAACTTCCTCAGGCTCAGGGAAGGGGGCCAGATCTGTAGTTTCTCCCTGGGACAAAAATAAATAAAAGAAGGCACTTGTTTTGATAATGCCCCACCCCAATCTCCTCTGAGGTAGGACTTCCATGGGGTAGAACGATGCTTGACATTATCTTTGCTAGCATTCTCTACTTCCCTTGGACAGAGTGTATGGTGGGGGTTGATCATCCCTTTGCTCTGCGTAGTTAAAGGGGTAGGGTTGGGCTTGGGGCATAGGCAGCAAAGAGAACTGACTGCATGGGTCAACCCAAGTGGACATTTTAAGGATCGGGGTAGAGAGTTTGGGGTTTCCATATTGCCCAGCCCGGATCACTAGAGCAGAAAGCTCAGAACAAAGAGTGAGCCTATGGCCCAAGCAACTGCTAGAGTTTCCTCTGGTTTGCTCGAGGGGAGCTAGACAGTGCAAAGTAAGCCTGGCGGGAGAACTCCAAGCTTGACTCATTTCTGGTGCAACATTCCCAAAGGACACACACTGATTAAAACAGTAGCAGCAGTGGTAATTATTCATATTAGAATTATCATGTTTTTAATCTACTATTTTAAATAATTACTACGGCTACTACTAATGATGGTAATATTGCTTCAAGCAGTATTGAATGACATACAGTATAAGATCTCCTAGAGATTTATCCATATAGGTAACTCTCAAGGTACTTATACCACAGATGCTCACCCACCTGCAGAAGTTATTTCAATGAATTAAGATTAATACTTTACCTTTATAGACAGTGGATATAAGAATTATCCATTTAAATAGCATGCCTTGGAACTTCTTTAGTAAAATTCAAGTTTAAAGATCTCATTTACTATGATTTAAAATGTGCTTTAGGGGGATCCCTGGGTGGCTCAGCGGTTTAGCGCCTACCTTTGGCCCAGAGCATAATACTGGGGTCCCTGGATTGAGTCCCGCATCGGGCTCCCAGCGTGGAGCCTGCTTCTCCCTCTGCCTGTGTCTCTGCCTTTCTCTCCCCCTGTGTCTCTCATGAATAAATAAATAAAAATCTTTAAAAAAAAAAGTGCTTTAGTAATTCAAATAAATTGTTTTTTATTTGAAGTAAAATGTAATTTTTTAAAAAAGATTTTATGTATGTATGTATTTATTTTTTATTTTTATTTATTTATTCATGAGAGACAGAGAGACAGAGAGAGAGAGGCAGAGACGCAGGCAGAGGGAGAAGCAGGCTCCATGAAGGGAGCCCGACATGGGACTCGATCCCGGGTCTCCAGGATCATGCTCTGGGCCTAAGGCAGCGTTACACGCTGAGCCACCAGGGCTGCCCCAGATTTTATTTATTTATTCATGAGAGACAACAGAGAAAGAGGCAGAGACACAGGCAGAGGGAGAAGCAGGCTCTATGCAGGAAGCCTGATGTGGGACTCGATCCCAGAACTCTGGGATCATGCCCTAAACTGAAGGCAGACGCTCAACTGCTGAGCCACCCAAGCATCCCAAAATGTAATTTTTAAGGCTGAATCTGTATTCTTCCTTTTGTCATAAAATGACAATCATTCAGTGATCTAGTGCATATTCGTTGTGACACGGGCAGTGAATGTTTGGGTCCAAATCCATGGCCTACTTATAATGATCTGCTCATGACAACCACTAAAATAAGCAAGTTCTACTGTTTTATACTATGGTATTTTATTTGAATGATCTGTTATCCTGACAACGACTTTAAGTCCTTTTGGATGGAAATAGACTGGAAAAACTTTTAAAATGTATAAGAAATCTTAGGTGATCAATGAGCTCAACCAAACCAAGTACAGAAATACCATTCCCTAAAATAGAGGAGTGGCTTTGTGAAGTGGTCACACAAGAATATGGTATTATCCCCAATTAGGAAAAAACAGTCAGGCTTGGCTGCTTATAATCAGTGGTAGATCTAGGAAATGCCTGGGGTTTGAGACATGACTCAGCACTCCATGGGTTGACTGCCATGCTTCTCTATATAGCAGGAAACCAAAAAGAACCAACCCCTTCTCCTTAAGATTAGGCTGATTCCATGATTTGTGGACAATGAAAGAGCTCTGAGGCCCTAGATTCCTCTCTGGTCTAGCACACACAGATGCAGGGTATTACATTTTCTCCACCAACTGCCTTAGTGTAATCCACCTTTATCAAACCACACAGACAATAGCATGATCTCCTGTAGTTCATTTTTCAAGACAATTACTAAGCCTTTCAATTTCTCGAATAAGCAATGGTTCTGTGAAAATCCCCTCACTATTAATAAAACTCATTTCTTACCCTTTGTTCTTCACACAGGCATTTTTCAAGTGAACGTAGCTGGAAGGAAAGATACCCTGCAGGAGAAGACACGAGGTTATGGTGCCAGGTGACTGATAAGGCGGGGGTGTTTTCACAAGTTATACGTATAAAACACAGTCATACAACCATACAGTACTGGGAACAGGGAAAAACAACATCTCTACCACACTGGATCCATTTCTCTTATTTTCTGCTATTCATTAGTTGACAAATTCAGGGATTCTCTAAAGTAAGTATAATAAAAAAAAATTAAATCTCACTTAGAAGTATTTTCTTTATAAAACAAAATTTCTAAATTTTCAGGAATTCTGCATAGAATAGAAAGCATGTTATACCAAATAAGAATTTTTTTTAGTATTGCATAGTTTCTTTAATATTGCATTAGTTTTTGTTTGTTTTGGTAGTTGTTCATTTTCTTCTAAAACACTCGTGTCTATTTTAAAATATACACTAAAAACAAAATACCACAATGAATTGGGAGACAATACATACACTATGTGTTAGGGGAAGAACTTTGATGAAAACATAGTAGCAATTAATCACCAGGCTGCATTGTGATGGAACAAAAATTAAACAAAAGACAGCATGCTAGCTCAAAGCTTTTTATTGTAGACAAAAGATAGGACAAGGAAATTGTTCCTTTGTTCTAAATGGGAAATTGAAAGAAACAACATAAAAAAACATTAGCATCAATTTTATTGTCCATTAAATGACAATATCTTCTGAATGATTTTTGATGTATCATCACATGACAAATTCAATTAAATATTTAGGAAAGCAAATGTTATTTGAATATGTTATCACCATTGTGGATCCAAGGATAACATAAAATTTAATAAGCAAATTCTGTACAAACAACAGTAGTAAATAGATATACGTGTTAAAAATATTTTCTTCAAAATTTACACTAACTCAATATGGTAGGATTAACCAACAGAGTTAATTATAATTTTTAAAAAGTCAGAATTTGAGGTTAAAAATAAGTCAAAATAAATTTTTTTCAAAATTACTCTAAATGAATAATTAAATTCTGAAGCTACATTGGCATGTGCCTTGCAGATGTTCAAAAATAACTTTAAATGAGAGCTAAAATATTTTAAAAAAATAAATTTCTATAGTCTTTTGTCCCTCAGCCTCTCCTTTAGAATGACCAAAAATAAATGAAATAGTTATTAAACATAGCTAGGTGATCCAAAAAAGGTATATTTAAGGAGAAAGGCAGGTAGAAGAACTTAGCTTAGATTGTATTTTGAGAGTAAGAAATGATACATTTTCTTATCTACAATCCTAATAAAGCCAGAATTAAACCAAGAAATGAACATGACATGCAAGAGAGTATTATAGAACCTGGGAAGTGTGGATGAAAGTTGGAGAGATTAGAATAAAGTAGACAAACACAGAAAATAGTAAGGATTAGTGTCAAAGTCATAAAGTATACAAACGAAAGGTAAAATAAAAATCATACTACCTCCTTACTATAATTTCTGAGGATGTATATAAACATATAAAGGATAGTGAGTCTGAGTTTCTGTCTGGAATTGTAGGAACAGGGAGCTCTTTGTAACACGGCTTCCCCATGTTTCACCTGCCCAAACCCAGAAGGGAATCTTACTAGGCTGCTGAAATAAACTCCACATCACTCTTTTACAAATGACACCACAGAAATCTTAACACCTCTATTCAATTTTTCTTTTGGAATATCTATTTCCCCTGCTTGAATTTTAATTTCACTCTCTGCTAAACTAACACTTCAAAAAAGATTTTGTTTATAATATAATGAGCTTATTAAGGTCTTCTCAGCACAAACTGCAAGAGCTACCTAGGATTATCATTTGAGTAGCATGTCTTAACGATAATCCAAGTTCAAAGGAATTCCCAAAATTATGAAAATCTGTATTGCCATTTGGCACTTTAAGAGTCCCAACTGTAATTTCAATTGTAAAATGAAATAAAATAACTTTTTTTAAAAATCCCATAATTATGATTATGAGTAATATTTTTTATTACCTTGACATTTGGGTTTTTTAAGGCAAATCCTCTGTACCAGCCTGTGGAGAAATAATCATGGTCATTATTTTGATAAACCATTATTATATTTTAAAGAAAATAAATTATTACAAATCAATCTGTCCTTTACTGATGGAATTTTACCCTACCAGTAAATATTCTGTGTATGAATAAAATGGGGGTTGGATTGGGCTAGACTATAGCTCAAGTGACTAATAGTTTAAGCATTCTATTAAGAAACCATTTAAAAAATTGTAATGGAAATCTATATGAAAAATAGAAACATGCATAATGGAAGTACAGGGTTTGGAATAGCATTGGGCTTAAATTCTGGCTTTGCTACTTATCAGATTATTTTATTTTGGGCAAGTTAATTGACATGAGCATGGTTTCTCCACGTTTTATAAAAGGTTACATTATGTCTCAGGGAAATTCAAGAATCTGCACAAGATTTAATAAGTTTCCAATTTCTCTTTGCCTGACTACAAGGCCCAGACCCTATCACCAAAGAATAGGGCTCAGCCAACAGTCATAGAGTGAATTTACACATCCTTCAGCCCATCATCTAGGTTTAGGATCAGTCTGATAGCATAAGAAGAGGAAAATCAGGTATCACCTATCAAGGAAAGTGATGGGCACTCTTATCAGCAAAATGTCCTACCACCTGAGCTCACCTTAATGTTTATTCTGTGGAATGCCTATGGCTTAACCTCTAAGCAATTCTGAATCAAATTTTCAGCACTATCCTGAAAGAGGAACTTACCTTTTTATACCTTAAAACAAGTACAGGGTGTATATATATATGAAAATAAATGGTAAATATATACTCCCTCTAAATGTATTATTTTCAACTTACAGTTTCTTCAAGTATAGAACCATTTTGTTTATTGGTAAGAAGTTACCACGTAACAAATATTCTGTTGAATTGTTGTTTTTTTTTTATTAATTGAATTTTTAAAACAAAATATTTGAACTTTATATTTCAATACTTTGTTCTTTTTAAATTTTTTTAAAAAGATATATTGTAAAATGTCATGCCTAACAGCTTTAAAATCAGTCTGAAGAAAAGCAAAATGAATTGAACAGAAACTATCTCAGGATTTAAAAATCCCTTAAAGACACATACAAGAAATATATCCATTCTTAAATAATTACTCTAACAGAAACCACAACTTTCTGAGAATTGCTAAAGTCTTTTTTTTTTTTTAATTGCTAAAGTCTTAAAAGGAGGTCTCTGTTCAATTATATTGCAGGGGAAGGTTTTTAGGTTACAAAACAGCTCCCATTAGCCATGGAGCCCATTTTCATGCACCAATTCAAAACAGATTTTATATTTATCTGTATACAGGGTAAAAATAGACAAAATGCATCTGACAATAACATGAAAGACCTGATTATACTTTTAGAGATCTCATTTACAGGGCACAGAATAAATGTCCATGTACCATCACCATTTAATGCCAGGTTCTAAGTAATTTTAAGAGTTCTGTTTGGAGGAACACAGTTTAATGAATCTTGCTACGACAGAATGTTATCATATTATAAATCCTATTAAGCACAACATTTCAGGAGAAAAATGGATATTTAAAATGTGGTCATCTTAACGAGAATAAAAAAAGAGCAGTCATTTCAACTGGGATCTTTTTAAATATGAGAGCTTAAGCATGTCTTGTGGAACAGGACTGGAAACATTTGAGAACATGTTAAGTATCTTGATTTAATGAGTTACATGCAGTATAAATTAATAATCATAAAGCCCTTACAATATATTCCACTAACATTTCATATGCACTGAATAACTTTAGTTCAAGTTTGGGGGTGGCAGGGAAGAAGACTGCAGAACTACAGCAGAGTTGGCCTTGGCAGGAGTCTTCCCCAAGGCATCTGGTTACTTAACCTTGGAGAAGCCATTTCTGCTCTGGATCTGTTTCTTCCTGTCCCAGGGGACCTATTAGACCCCTGAGATCCTGAGAAAGACCTTCTCGTTTGGCACTGAGTCATGAATCCCCTCAAATACAGTAGCCTCAACTGCTTTATATGTTGGCATCTAGTGAATATAAGGAAATAATATCAGGAAAAATATATCAGCTTAAAAATAGCAAATGATGCTTTTCCATAAGCCAAACACTGAATCTGCAAGAAATAAGCTTTGTCAAAAATGGATCACTGTGACCACTGGAAAAATCCCAGAAATTAACAGAAGGACAGAATTTGCAAACACTATGAACTGTCCAATGGTGACGAGGTTAGTTATACAACCTTGAACAATCAGCACTAGCCCACTTACCATCACACTTCTCCAGGATCTGAACTGTATCTCCAATTTCCAGTGACAGGCCATATGGGACAGTTCCTCGAAAACTGGCAATAACTGTAAGAAATGTTATAGAATATATGAAGATAATCCTATCTGTTATAGCCAGTTATACTGCTTGCTATTAAATGTCACTGACTAGAAAAACGAATGCAAAGAGGAAGTATACTTTGAGAGCTAAAACCTGCTGTCATATTTAACTTTTATATGTTTTTGCAGAGTATCACTCAATAACCTATGTGACAATGTTATTTCCTGAAGAGCTCTATGCCACTCTTGTATACTGCTATATTCACTCTGCATCCAGACCCCTTGCCCACAGTAGTTACTCAATAAATGTGTTCAATAACAAATGAGGGATACATATCCTACTCGCTGTTCAGCTTCATCTACCTTCCTATTATGTTGCTTGTAGGAGATTTCTTTTCTCTTAGACTGTAAGCTCAAGAGAAGAGGCTGCATTTATTTGCTTACTAGTATGTCCCCAGGGCTTGGCCAAGTATGTGGCATAAAAGCGGTCATCTTGAGTAGTAATTAAGAGTAACATTTTATTTAGTCTTGACTATGCTCCACCCCTAGGATTAAATATACACCCACTCTGACAATTCCCACATGCCCCAACTCTCTCGGAATAGGGCACATATGTCCAGGGGAGAGTAGGGTGTCACCATTTAGCCTTACCTAGTGGTTATGGACTGACTGGTTTCTGAAACATTTCACAGGGTTGGGCAGGGCGAGGATGTTAAAGCCAGAAAGAAAGTGTGGATAGGTTAGTTATCTCCGGATACCTCAGAGAGTTACAGAGAGAATGAAGCACAGTGATTCTCCCCGGGAGAGTAATGCCTGAGTCAAAAAGGAGATGAGGATGGAGAAATAACAAAAATGCACCTCACTACATGAAAAAAAGAAGAAACATCTCCCGCTCAATACAGTGCACTGAAATCAACTTTCCATTCACGTTTGAAAAATGATAGTAAAAGCTTTGACTGAGTGATTTTTAAAAGACCAAAATTTTGAAAGTGAGTTCTATAACTCTGTCTCACATAGTAAGATCCAGATACAACCCCAAACCCCCAAATAAATCATGGCTACTGTTGAGAACGTATTTTAAAAGCTTGAAGAAACACATGAATCTGTCAAAAATCAGGACATGCCGGTAAGTAATGGGCTTTTACAAGAGGTCTAAAGCCCTTTCATAATCTCAAAACAAAATTAACAGTAGAGATCAAAATGCAAGACAGAAAGCATAACCCACAGTACATGAGATGGATGAAAATAGCTGTAGAGTAACCAAGTTAGAACATTTTAGACAAGCATTAATCCGTGATGTCATTTTCCAACCTAAATACCCTATGACCTCATATTGACGTGCTAGGAGATGTTCACTCAAAAAATAATCTAGGGTCTGTATATCTTGACAGATTATTTTAAACAACTTTCAGAGACCTCTTCTTACAAGAGATCACAGCTAGACAGTCAGTAGACTGATTAGAATTTAAAAGACTTCAGAGCAAGCCTGCACCCAGAATCGCCTTTCTACATTCATGAAGTTATCTAGACTCTTCACGACCCTAGTGGTTCCACGCTGCACCGCTTCAAGATTTGAGAGCACAGACTACCCAACACGGCTCTCTCTATAGCTCTTACCACTCACAAATGGCTTTGTAATTCCCAGACTGCATGTTTTCTCCCAGCCCCCATCACCTTCTTGAACACAGTGATACCATCCATGGACTTCATTTCTTCCTCCCCCCTTCATGCTCCAGCCCACTCAACACAGGCTTCCTTCCATGTGCTCTGAAACCACACTAATGAAGTCACTATCCCCTCACTGCGACCACGAGCATATCGCTTTCAGGAGTCCACCTTCGTTTGAACCTCATCTCTCACACTCCCCAGCCTTCCTCTGTAGACCTTCTCTTCTTAGCCCTCTCCTTAAATGTTGGTGTCACCTAGCATTCTATGCCCAAGATGCTGAAGCATAAAGGCTGAGGTGCAGGACAACAGCATCATCATGAGACATGAAGGGAGAGCCCAGATTTTAGCAGTTATTAGCTGCGTGACTATAGTCAAGATACTTCTCAAAATCTGCATCACCTCATCAAGCAAATGGGGGTAACAGTAAAAGAACTGCAAAAGATACTGGAGGCTTAAGTAAGGCGCCTACTGGAAATAACTTACTACACTCTCGGGGACGTTCTAGTCATTTCATAAATACCTCAGTTATTTAAACTGGATTTTTCTCTTTCTATCCATATATATTCATTCTTCCTCTTTGGAAAGAGTTTTAAGACTTCTAGCATCACCTGTTGACAGATGGCTTGCCAAGTCCCTCTCCAGTTCTGATCTGTGCCCCTGAGAACCTGACACAGACTTGCCAGTTGTGTATCCCTGTTCAGATGTCTAAGGATCCAGAACTTAGCATACTTCCAGCTAAACCCATCATCTCCCCTCATTCTCTAACCAAATCTAAGATATTTTCTCTTCCAATTACCTAATCTGAAATGTTAGTCTAAAATTGTAGTCTATTGCCAGTCCTGCTTTATCCTGCTATCCACTAGGTGGATTTCTCTGTATCGCTCTACAGGGCCACTGGGAAGCCTTCTCGGATGTCTCCCTGGTTGTCCTTCCTCAACACAAGGTCCATGATGCCACCAGTTACCTTTGATTCTGTCGCGTTTGGCCTAAGGTTTTGTGGGGTTTGTTGTTTTCTGTGTGTGTTTTTCTGTTTCTGTATGTAGCTTCAGGAAGATTTTTATATTTCTTCCATTAGATTTCTTTTTCTTTTGTACTAAAAGATGATTAAATAGATCGTGCAGTGCTGGACAAGAGCTTGATCAGGCTGTTTTCCTCTTATTTCATGCTGCCATTTAGTTCATACAATCCTTGTCTCCAAACCAGATCCTCCTCCACTGTTCCCAGTTCTATTGAATGTTAGCACTGTCCATTGACTGGTAAGGTCAGGAATCCGGGGGCCATGAACTAGCCCTCTCATCCACATATCCAATCCAACACTATGTCGCAATCATCCTATCTCTGAAACACCTCCCGGAGGCACCCTCTCTCAACATTTCCACTCCTGCCACTTCCCAAACTGACTGGCCTTCTCCTGTGGTCTCCTAACAGGTCCATGTTTAGATACTCAGGACCCTTTCCAATCCTTTTTTCACATGACAGTTAAAGAGGTCATTTCAAAATGCACATGTGATGATGTCATCCTCCTCCTAAATCTATTAGAGCTCTGAGAATGATAAAGAGATCAGTACCACAGCCCATACGGTCCTGCCCTTCTCTCTGGTACCATCCTGTACTCCTTGACTCTGACTTTCTGTACTCCAGTTACAGAGACCTTCTGTCAATACTTTGGTTACTATATTCCCTCATATGCTGGACTTTACACATGGCTGACCTCTTGCAAAGACTGTTCCTTTCACTCCTTACCAAGTTAGGCCATTTTCATCCTACAGATATGAGTTCAGGGGTCAGTCACTTCTAGGGCAGCCTTCCTTGATGCACGTTCACTCATCCCAACTACGTGCACTCGTAGCAACAGACTACTGGAACCACAATCCTTATTTGTGCAAATTTCCACAAATGTAAGGATTGTGCTGGTTTTAGCTCCCCATTGTATACCCAATTCAGTACCGACCTTGGTACTCAATCTGAGTTCAGTAAATAATCACTGAGGGAATGAATGAGGGTGTGGTCATTACTGCTAAACACTCCGATCTTAAACAAGAAGCTTCCTTATTATTGCAAATACCATTTTTAGAGGGTACTTAAAATTTCAAGATCCAAATTATATTATCTGTCAAAACTCACACTTTCATAGGAGTTACTGAAAGTGGGATGACACTTTGGGTTTTATCTGTGTATCATCTCATTTCTTATCTAAGTAGTCTATATGGATGAATTCTGATTTTACTCTTCAGCTACGTAATATTTGAAAACTAATAAGAGCATGCTAGTAAGTTCTTCAATCCCATTGGGCTTCAGGTGCCTCCTCTACAAAACAAAGGAGGTAGACAGGGTGCCCTGTGCTCAGCCATACCCCAAACTGTATCAAGATCTTTTTTGCAGGCCTCAGTGCCTTTACACATATTATTCCCTTTTGGGGGGTTACCTATGCCATCCCTTCTACACGGGGAACTGCCAAGGAGTCTTCGTTTAAGTTCTAGCTCCAAGGTTAGCTCTTTTGATTTCCTGATGCTACCCTTTTTCCTTTCCTCATCCTTGCTTCAAGTGTAATCAATTACTCTCTCATCCGTGCTCCAAAGGGACTCTGACCACACCTTCAATAGGATAAGGCACCATATGGTATTATACTACTTTATTCATCTGTCTACTTGAGAACATGAACTATTTCTAATTCACCTTCAAGACTCAGTATATGAGTGTCTGAGTACATGAACAGAGAATGAACACACACATGGAATACATGAAGCCACTTAAAAATGGCATCCAGGTTTTAGAGATTCACAGAATGTTAGGGTCACCTCTTTTAGCCAAGAACACCGAGGGGCAAGCATTGAACTGCAGATCACATTAGGGTGTGAAGCTTTTTCAAGATATAGTTCAGGCATGATTTTGAACTTTACCCTCTAAAATGGCAAGCCACTTTCAATCTTTGACTTACACAAGTAACTCCACCTTGCAGTGTACTAAACTTGTCAATGGATGGATGAATGCTATATTATTTATGCTTCAGGTTATGAAAGAGAAAGTTGAAAGAGGTTGGTCTTAGAGAAGACTCTTATTTGTTGATTCCTGGAATTGTTGTCACAACTGGAATAGTTTATTGAGGTGCCTGATGGATGCTCCTTTACTTTAGGGCCTAACAACAATAGATTTCTAGCTAGTGTTACTATATAGAGGTTGTGCCTATGAGCAGTTCTGGGCAAAAAAGCAAAAGATTTGAAAAAAGGATTGGCTTTTGTTTATTAGTGGTAGTATGTGATATATCATAAAGTAAGCAAACTGGTTTAGCAAAGCAAAGATTCAGGAGATAACACAGGAATTCACAAAGCCTCAATTTGCATTTTCATTAAACGTACTAC